ACTTGTTTTTCTTGGTTACTTCGCTGGTCTGTGAACTCGGAAGAACTGGCTAAAAACTGCTCAAAGTGGCGCAAACGATCGCGCAGCTTTAGCAAACCACACTTTCGATAAGGTTTCATTGTAATCAAATGATTAATCTACGCGGAATGAAAAGGTGTTACCCTTGTATGGAGTTTAAACCGTGTGAATTAAATAACGAATATTAATGATTAACTTGTTTTTTAATCATTAACCTAGATTTACCGACAACCGACAAAGTTATGTTTAACCGACAACCGACATTTGGACCCCCCATTCAGACCCTCTATTTTGAAACAAAAAGGACTATTTCTGAGAATTTAGGGGCGGGGGGGGGGGGGGTCATGGAGCTCAAACGTTGAAATATCATTTGATTTGTACGTAATCTTGTTATGACCTGTTCCAAATAACGGAATTAAGAACCAAACGTATAGCGACACATAGTTTAGTTTAAAGTTATGGCATCATATAGTCATCTGAAACAAAAAGGATACCCAAAGCTTATCTTATAATCGATTTGTTATTAAGAATGTGCAGACGCCTTTGTAGCCATTATTATGAAACAAACTTAAGGAAATGTTTTCTCTTGAGGCTTTGTGGATCTAGTCTTACGTTATTCATGCGTAATCGTATTAGAGCTAGTGCTTGACCTAAACTATATTGTTTGATTTTGCAGTTGTAATGAGTATTGTGAGCAACAGTTCTGAAGGAGAAGCTGTTTTAGAGAGTCCATGGTACAACAGATCAGCGCAGGAATATGGCAGGTGTCTTCAGTTTAGGTTCTTGATGTTTGGGCCGGGAGCCGAAATGTTGGAGATTCATCAAGAATTTAGTGCAGTGCGGAGAAGAATTTGGAAAGATTCCAACAATAAAATTCCATATTGGCGTTACGGACAAGTGGCTTTTTCTTCTGTTGCAAGAAGTAAGGTGAGAACAGAAACTAGACATGGTAACATAAACAGAGCAATTCAGAGAAGAATTTTGAAACATGCCAACAACAAATATTGTTATGGAAAAGTGTATTTTTGTTTTGTTACGAGAAGTATGGTTTATTGGTAACAAGCATCTTGCGAAATTTTCAATGACTTCAATAGCACAAGCTGTTCATTTCTGTATCACTATTTGTGTATAAGTATAACGAGATAGTAGTCAACACAGTATGTACCACGAGGTAACAACAACAACATAACTTTATTGTAAGTTAATTAATTACACTGACCGGCAGGTAGCAAATGCTAATCTAGGCGGGATAGACAAACAACTGAGGGTTAACTGATTTAAATAAATATTATTACATAATCGAAAATTACTGGCATGAAGTTTGCGCAAAGCCGGATACAAACTTAGCGTTTTCGGCTCTGAGTTTTATAATAAAATCAATAAAGTAGTAAATATGCGCCAATGAAAAACATGTCAAAACGAAAATTTTTAATTCTTTCTAAACGTTGGATAACAAAAGGCTTAATAACCTCAATAACAATAAAAAAAAATGATCCTTTCCCAAGTGGCGATACTGACAAATATAGGATCTATCGAAGTAAACTGACAACAATAATTCCATTAAGTAAAAAAAAAACTACTATTACGTCCAAATTATTTGATATTAAGCTAGACCGCGAGCGGTCGTCCTCCTTTCCTCAGAGCTACGCGAGGCGAAAAAAAAGGACGAGATTGGGGCGGAGAGATTTTTTTCTTCGCTCTGGCTTCTGCCCTCGTACGGGATTTATCCAGACAAACCAAAACTTGCTAAAATAAGTCCAGCTTTTAAGAGAGATGATGCCACGGAGGCAGGAAACTATCGCCCAATTTCTCTTCTGTCTATTTAGACTTAGTAAATTTATAGCCAAATATGATTTCCTATTTGACTGACAATACGGGTTTCGTACTAAGCATGACATCCAACATGCAATACTTAATATTATTAACACCATACAATGCAACATGGACCAAGGGAAATACTCGTACGGAATCTTTATTGATCTTAAAAAGCGTTTGTTACGGTGAATCATAGTATTCTTTTATCTAAGCCCTACAATTACGGTATTAGAGATGTCGTGCATGACTGGTTTAAATCGTACGTAACAAACCATAAACAAACAACACTTAATAATAACACTATATCAGACCAAGAACTAACACTCTATGGGGTCCCCTAGGGTTCAGTACTTGGACCACTTTTATTCCTCTTGTACATTAATGACTCCACAAATCAAGCAATGTGTTCACTAACTTTTATTTGTTTGCTAATGACACTAGCATGTTGTATGCTAATAAAAATTTACGCGAACTTGAAAACAAAGTTAACATTGAACGCGGAAATCTTCGTGATGGGCTGAAGGCCAATAAACCATCCCTTAACATTAAGAATTCAAACTTTGTAATTTTTCAATCGCGTCAAAAATCCTTACCATTCATTCCTTGCATTGGTGTTCTTGATTACGAAATTAATTCACACAAACCTCTCGAGATGAAGGAAAATGTTAAATACCTAGGAGTTTATATTGATGCTGATCTTTCCTGGAAACACCGTATCGAGAGCAAATATTATCCGGACAAAAAGTAAATGCGTTGGTGTTATAGCGAAGTTAAGACATTTTGTTCCTCGTCAAGTTCTATTGAGTATTTTTCAGTCCCTAATTTCGCCTTTCTAGCCAAGGTAATAAAGTCCATACAACAAATTATTAATAATTGAGAAAAGAGCACTTCCACTGATGTTTTTCGCTAAACCTACGGACCATGCTTTCCCTTCTCATCGCTAGAAATACGGGACATTTGAGACTGCCACCAGTAAATTCAGCGGTAAAATTCCAATGGAAGCGAGCGCAATAACAACAAAGAAAGCAAATTTCGAGAAATATCGGTTCATGTTAAACTGATGTATCGATAAACACACCGTACAAAAATTAAAGTGGATACCTCGAATTTCATGTTTACTTTTTACAATTTTCTGTGAGCAGTTTAGCGTAAAAAAATATATAAGCCGTAGAGAGGGAGTTATTCGAAAAACCGAAAACTTATTGTTTACAAACAGCGATTGCGGGTAAAATTAATGATATCCAATAAATGTGCAAGTGGTTTCACTAAAACAAAACACAGAACGCACTAACCTTTCCATTTTTTTGTGTCATCCGACTGATTTTGATGTTTACTTTTGGATTTGAAAATGACGAAAAAAGGCACCGATAAAATCACATGCTGCATTCCACGCTAAAATCCTAAAAACCACAGCCTTTGAACAGCGATTTTTCCGCCTTCCTTAGCTTGATTTTGCTCTAACACCCATGGTTTGAAAGCTTATTCCATCAGCAATCTTTCCTCATTACTTGTTCTGCAATATTTTAAGCCAGTGGTTCCTATTTGGCGCAAAACAACTATGATTCTACCACTCGATCTGTCACTAAAATATGAGGCCTTCACGCAAGTATGAGCAACTAAAAATGGGCCACGCGGGCTGGCGTGGGCATGAAATCGGCACACTCGTCCGCCCGCAGTGATAACTCTATTCAGTGGCATTTCGCAAAAAAATATTATTTTCTCCTAAGATGGCGGAACTTATCGTGAGAGTTCACGAAACTGTTGCTTCTTACATTGCAAATGCGGAAGATAAAAGTCTAGCGACGGACATTGGCAATGAAGTTTTACAACTTTCAAGAGCCGTCGTCAAACATCACACGTTTCCCGAACAACAACGCTACAAATACTATTTGGCCCAGCCATCGAGAATGTTAGCTAGAGACGTTTACAGGTGGAATAAAAGTATTTGCAGATTGATGAAACGTTCTCCGTCTCTTCAGCATCCCTGGGAAATAAGACTTAAAAGAAACCTTCCACTGGAGCTGTTTGATACATTGAAGTCGGATGTTATTGCCTTTGGTTGGGGACAAGTGTCAAAAAGTACTAGTCACGTGGAGGAATTAGTTATAACAGAGGAAGATCATTTTAAGAATCTCATATTGTCTTGGAGCAACAAGTTTCGACGTCAGTTGGAGGACACAGAAGTGCTTATTAAAGAAGAAAAAGACGGTGGATACAGTCGAGTAGTGGTCGATACATCCAGGCCAGTAAAGATAAAGTACTCTAAGAAACTAGAAATGTTTACTTTGTATCTTAGTTATGGCCACTGGAACAGAGTAGGTGTTCCTCAACACTCATTTTACCGCGGTCGAGAATCATGACTTATTACTCCCTAATCATGACTCATTGCTCCATAAGGATTCAGTCTTGGGACTTTTCAGCATGGAGAGGGCAAATTTTTGCCTCTTTATAAGGTCTGTAAGGAAAATATGATTCTCTCTATTTTTAACCTGTTTTTTTCTAACCTCCTTGATAATGTTCCTTTAAGAGAGCCAAGTTACTTGTGTATACTGTTGTAAAGAATTTAACACAGTTCAGACTGTCTACCTCTTTAAGTAATGGAAAGAGGAGGAGAGGGGTTGCTACAGTTATCGGGTTCTTGTTCTTTCATATTTTGAATTATTTAACTTTGTGGATCAAAATAATGGGGAGGAGAAAGGCATAACTATTTTGGTGCAGAAAAAGTTTTCAGTTTGATTTTACTGTGATTTCCCCATTTACCAGCCCTCCATACAAACAAATAAGGAACACTCTGTAATTGTAAATAAACAAACTAGGTCATGATAACAAACTTTATTGTAACAATCCCCATAAATACTTTTAAGTTAACTCATCGGATTGGTTTCAAAAGTTACAGTTGTAATAGGAATGTTATAACAGTTGTTAAAAAAGCTACAAAACAATGAAATACACTAGGTTCCAGCACTCTAATAACATTGTATGTTGTGTTCAGTAATTAAAAAATCCAACAATTTTTAGGTCTGAGTCAATTAGTATTTGTAGCATTGTTGTTTGGGAAACATATGATGTTTGACAGCTGCCCATGAAAGTTGTAACAATTGCCAATTTCAGTCGCTATATTTTTATCTTCTGCATTTGCAATGTAAGAAGCAACAGTTTCATGAAGTCTATGAAGATACACTAAGCATGTTACAGATTTCATCATCAAGTTCTCCTTTCTGTGCAGATCTAGAAATAGCCTCATAAAGGCTTGAGGAACAGTAAAAACATTTGGCTTCATTTTCATCTAGTTTAAAACCACAATAACAAAACTCAGGGAGATAAGATTCTTTTGGTATGTACTTATCCTTACACTTGGCATACCGAAAATGAAACGGGTCAATTTTCCTAAGCCAGATAGAGCTGATGTACTCATGGCGCATGACTAAGCTCCACCGAGTTGAGAGTGTTGCTAGCCTGTGTACAGACGTCCCCACTCCCTCAGGAAAAATCAGGAGAGGAGACGTCTGTGAATCGCCGTCGTTAATCGTGTTCCGGTTTAAATTTGCATAAATTATTTTTTTGTTCTTTCGTTGACAGTTGAAAAGGCACAGGTAGGTCGAAAAATAGCTCTGGCGTCTGTGCATAGGCTATACGAACATCTTCACGTTGAAGATGATTACAGTCAAGCCAGATCAAGCGTACCTCTTAAGATCCATTAATGTATTTATTATTCGAAATTAAGTTGAACCGTTGGTAGTTGTAGATTTCAGATTCATCTCTGTGTGCATTTTTGCATGCGTAATGAGCTGTGAATTCACACGCGATTTAGTTACGAAATTTCTACCAGCTCAGTTTCCCTGAATTTGATGTAAATGTCTTCTAAGACATTTAATCCATTCAAAGATTTTCAATCTGACCAAATGCAGAGAAGTTCTCTTAAAATATTCACTACCCATTGCGCATACAAGAATGCCGATTTAAATTTGACACCAGTTACGGGAACGACTAACGGATTCATTTTTTCAAATAATCAATTCATTAAAAGAATCTTTTTGGGGTAAGCTTGGCCCGCGGCCTTGGCTGTTAACGTTGGATTATGTATGCCTTCTCTTTTATTTACAATACCGACCGGTACAGACAGATGCATCCGCAACGGGTGCAGCAAACATCGGTGGTCTTACCTTCTCATGCCTTTTCGAGAGAGCCGAAATACAAATACCGGTAAACAAATATGAATGTCCACAAAGGCTGAGCTTTTCCCCGGGGAATCTATTCTGAGGTTCATTCACCAATCACAACACCGGAAATTATTTGCGTCATGGCATTAACATTACAACCAATCAGAGGCTGTCCCCAACATTCCTGGGAAACGGGAACACGATTATCGTCGGCGATTCACAGACGTCTCCTCTCCCGATTTTTCCTGAGGGAGGGGGGACGTCTGTACACAGGCTAGAGCGTTGCATGACGTGCAAATGATGACAGAGTTACATGCTTGGCCTCGCGGCCTTGCATAGTGTTAATGCCAAGGCCAAATCCAAATTCTCGAAACAATGCTGCATTGTGGAATGGAATTGCATATCCCACAGTCCACACTATAGGGTTAACTGACTTCATAAGTAGGGAACAAGTGTTAAAGAATAATTGGCAGTGAACCTTAAGTTCTTGACAAATTGCTGCATTAGTTTCAACTCTACTGAATTTTGATACTGCATCAGGTAATTGCAGGGCAGCAAAAGCAACTGACATAAGTCTAAGTGATTCAGGCCCCAGGTCAATTTCTCTCCTTAGGGAATCAATAAGAAACATAAATTTGTGGCAAAAGCACTTGGTTTCTTTACCTGTAAATCGATATTCAAATTTCTTTTTTCTCCCTTCCTTCAGCCATTTTTTTAATTTTCTTATACAGTCTAGATGCACCAACATCATTCTTTATTGAATGGACAAATTTTTTGAGAGGAGTTTCATCAGGCAGGGTTGATAAGTCAACACCCGTAACGGGATGTTGCTTCGTGAAATTGCTTCCTCCACTAGTATAGAATGGATATACTACCAAGCATTGTTTGAATTATGTAGTGGTTCTGCAAAAGCAAAGTCTACCAAATGGGCAATGATAGGTTCGCATTCTTGTCTAGATTTCTGATCTTTAATAAACTGCGTAAGTTTGCTTCGCTTGGTTGAGGGGACTAGACGTGTGGCATTAAGTTCATTTTCTTTGGATTTCACCCTGACTGCCACAGTGAGCCTGTTATTGTAATTCCATGGTTGTCATGTAAACTCTTCACTCTCACCAATTGCCCCATTTACAGCGTATTTGTTTCCATCATGAACATTTGCAAAAGAAGAGAAGTAATGTGCAGCATTACTCAACTCACCAGCAAATGTGGCCAACCACTTCATATCAGAGGGAACTAATTTGAACTTAAATTGCACAGGGTACCCTGCCACAGTATACCTCTTACTTTCAACATAAGCAATGTCAGAAACTAATTTTTTCGCATAGAGCTTCATGACAACATGAGACTCGGAGCAATTTGCTCCAGCAAGGAGGAAGTTTTCACTGTGGCTCGCAATTCGTTCTCCTACATTGATAAAAGAAAGAAGCCAAAAAAGAAAGAAAGTCGCTTCATCGTCCTTTCCGAATGGTTCACCGTCAGTACCAATGGCTACTTTGAATTGGTATGG